TATATATATATATATATATATATATATATAAAGCAGTCTAAACAGAACGTATATATAATAATGTACAGTATAATATATTAAATAAAAGCTAATTAATACATTAAATAGATAATAAAGAAATAAAACATTTAATTATCTTACCCTGTTTGTTATTTGAAGGATAAGGCTGCTCAAGTGTTGCGAATAGAGGGTTTTCATATCCAACATCAAGCCCGCATAGATCAAGACATAATACATTAGCTTTATGTGCAGGTAAAGGAGACGATATTGTTAATGAAGCCTTATTATCTCTATTTAATGTATACGCAAACTTCTGTCTCTCTACTGCAGCTATCATCAGCGCTCGTCCTCGAGGATCTACAGCTACATATTCGCCCGCAACAACTCTTCGTATTCCTGAATAAACAAACATAATTTATATTTATTTATTTTATTATTTATTTTATTTATTTATTTGTTTATTTATTCAGTTAGTTAGTTAGAATAGACTAATAAACACAATCATAGACAGAATAATCAAGAGATAAATAAAAAGAATAATAAACAAAATAATAAACAAAATAATAAACAAAATAATAAACAGAATAATAAATAATAATAAAGAGAAAAATAAATAATAATAAAGAATAGTAAAGAATAATAAATAATAACAAAGAGACAGACAAAGACTAACAATAAAACAAGTAAAAGGCTTAATAAAGAATAACAAAGAGACAAACAAACAAATAAATAAATAAACACTGATTAATTATTAAATAAATAAATAAATAAATAATATTTATTTATTTATTTAAAAGGCTTCACCTGTCTTGCCGTATGTCTCGCAGTGTATGCGTTCAAAGCAATTCTTCTTTGTGTTGAATTCTAAGATAACTAAGCGGCCTGAGTCGCTTCCTAATACAACATAATCTCTGACAGCGCCTAAAGACAAAAGAAGTACAAACATATACTTTAATTGTTTTAATGCTTTATTGTTTGTCTATTCATTTACCTCTATATTTATTTTATTTTTAATCCTTTTAACGCTTCAACAAACAAATAGCGCAAAAACAAATAATTATATTATACACATATTTATATTTACTATTTATTATTATTTATTTATTTATTATTATTATTATTAATTATAATATATTTAAATTATAATAATTATATTATTATAATTTAAATATATTATAATTAATAATATTATAACTAAATTTATCATGAACGATATGTAAACATATACATATATATATATATACAGATATATATTATATACACAGATATCTATATATATATATATATATATATAGATGTATATATAGACAGCAAACTGAATGCACACTAACCGCATATAAATAATATATATATAATAAACAATAAAATAAAAATAACAAAATAAAATACAACAAAATAATAAACAAACAAATCACACCAAACAAAGCCTAGAAAATAAATAAACAAAACAAACAATCAAACAAACAATCAATCAAACAAACAAATAAACAAATAAATAAATAAACAAATAAATAAACATAAATAAATAAATAAATAAATAAATAGTACCTGTAAGTCTGAATGTCGCTAAGCTTCGAATGATGCCGAAGACGTCCACTGAACAAACTGTATGCATGCGACCTTCTTGATCAGGCCGCAGCAACTCTAAAACTTTTCCTCTGCTGCATATTATTTCTTGGACTCTCGGAGCGCTGAAGCTACCGTGTACAGCATTAACAATTGCTGTAGGCTTCTGAAGAGTTAAATTATATAACACAGGCATCTTGAATTGTTATTATTATATATATATAGATTAGTATTATTATATTCTCTTTCTTCTTAATAATTATCTATCTACACTTATGCAGATGTTGATGTTCAAATTGTCTTGGCTTTATACACACCAGCAGCTGCAGCAGCAGCAGCAGCAGCAGCAGCAGCTGCAGCAGAAGAAGGAGAGAAGAAAAGAGAAGAAGAAGGAGCTGTTGTTAAAGAAATAGATTTATGTAATGTTATAAGAAGATTTAGATAGAGCGGTCTGGTGAAGAGATAAAGAAAGTTAATTAGATAAAGACAAACAAAAAGATAAATATACTTCAAGATAGAGCCGCTCACTTCCCTCCAACAGCAGCAGAGACACCAGCTGCTGCACAAGCTGCAGCTGCTGCAGCACAAGCTGCAGCAGCAGCAGCAGCAAACTCCGCCCTGTAATAACAATGCTGCTGCGCGCTAGCTTGTGCAGCAGCAGCAGCAGCAGCAGCAGCAGGATGTTAATACCCTGCTGCTTTATCTCCCTCTTATTTGCTGTTCTCTGTAAGCCAGAATGATGAAAGAGAAAATATCAAAAGAAAGGAGAAGCAGAAATAAGCAGCAGCTGCAGCAGCTGCAGCAAACCCACTACAGCCGCAGCAACAAGGCAGCAGCAGCAGCGGCAACAGCAGCAAGAGATGTTCTGCTCTCACAAGCTTAGCAAGCAGAGTAAAGCAAAGATGTTTATTATATTTTAAATTAAACAACAAAACAAACAAAACAAAACTCTCAAGAAATCTATTCAGAACAACAGCTCAATCTGCTGCATGTTAGAGCAGCCGCAGCGCATGCAGCCCCAAAACTAAAAACTAATACCTCCCCCTTCTTTTCCTTGAAATAATTCATTTAATAATTAATTAATTTATTTATTTTAATTTTATTTTTATATATTTTGTTTATTTTTATTTAAAATGACACAAAAAAAGAAAAATAAGAAAACCCCGCAGCAGCAGCTTCATCTGCTACGCAGATCTAAATAAATAAATAGTAAATAATAAAATATTTATTTTTGTTTTCTTTGTTTTTTATTTAGTAAATAAAATATATTCGTCTATCTTTATTTTATAGTCACCGGCTTATTTATTTCCTTCTAATTACACGACGAAACGCATGCAGACACTAAACCCTAAACCCTAAACCCTAAACCCTGAGTCCTAGACACGTACGTGGGGTGAGCCTTAGAGGAGGAGCAGTTGTTTATATTTCCCCTTCAATGACTCCTCTACACTCTAGGGTTTAGGGTTTAGACAGCAGCAGCAGCAGCAGCAGCAGCAGCACCAGCAGCAGCAGCTTGCTGCTGCAATGGCTGCAGCAGCAGCAACAGCAGCTTGCTGCTGCCTCCCCGATAGCCCCGTAATGCTGCATGTACAGCAAAAAGTTTGTAGTTTAATATTTTTAATGCCTTTTTGCATTTATTTGGTTCTGCTGAAAAACAAATGAAGAAAATCTACGCACTTCAGCAGCAGAAGCAGCAGAAGCTACTGCTGCTGCAGCTGCTGCTGCCTGTTACGAGACAGAAGCAACAAAGAATTTGCTGCGGTGTGCATACACCTCAGCATCTCTAAGAAAAATTTGTTTCCTCCCTCAATTAGCAGGAGTTGCTGCTGCATGCATGCATGCATGCATGCAGCCCCAATATATTAAGTTGCGGTGTATAGGCACCTGTTCATTTATATATTTGTTTTAAGGGTGCGTGTGCACTTATTCTTAATTAATAAAAATAGAATTTCTTTGTCTTTATTTATAATAATATCTTTATTCATTTGTTTATAATAGCTGCTGCTTTATAATATATGTATAATTGCTGTCTTCGTTTATTTATAATAGCTGTCTTTATATTTATATGTTTGCAATGGGTGTGTATTCCTTTATCTTTATTTATTAATATTATTATATCTGTCTTTATTATATAATTATAATTGCTGTCTGTGTCTTTGCTTGTTTATTTATTAATAATTGCTGTCTTTGAGGCCCCGCCGGTGCGATAAGCTGTAATTAATTAATTAACTAATTAATTAATTAATTAATTAAATTTATTTATTTATTTATTTTTATATTGGTCGTGGCAGCTGTGTCTTTGTTTATTTTCTTATTTCTCTCCGGCTTTTGTTTGCACTCGTCTTTGTCTTTAGTTAATTTATTTTTTTAGGCGTGTCTTTGTGCATTATATATTGTATATATATATAATATGTATATATATAATATGTATATATATATATATAATAATATGTATATATATAATATGTATATATATATATATATAATATGTATATAATATATATATATATATATATATTATATTGTATATATAATAGCTTGATGCATTGATTCATTTGTGTATTTGTTTGTTTATTTGTTTATTTGTTTATTTTAATATACGCATAATATTATAATATTACATTTATAATATTATATCGTCAATTTATCAATCTATACACTTTACTTATCT